AAAAAAAAAAAAAAAAACTCAAAAATGAAAGTCTGCAAACAGACAATTAACAGTTGTTCATATCATGATAAAATATGTAGGAGAAATATATCGTCGTTTAGCAATCGATGTACACAGTAACGACGGTAACGGCCATAAGCTTTTACAGCTGCCTGCAAGAATAAAGACAATTATTAATTTGTGTCAAACAACGTGCTAATTTAGTATCCAACTGCATAACAAATCAATTGGAGCCAGTCGTAACGTTTTGTGGCGAAAACTTAGTGCAAAGAGAGCTCAAGGAGAGACAGGAGCCAAAGAACAAATTTGATCAAAAAATGTAAGAACGCCCAACGGAAACCTGTTGGCTCGTTCAATTAGCTACCTACTGCTCCCGGAGTTATCAAAACCGAATGAAACAGTCGCGGAAAAGGAAAAACTCTAGCGCCGCACGGCAAAAACGCATAATCAATCAGCATGATCCAGAACTGAAGCTGGAGGGTGCTGGAGATTAAGAAATAACAATTTGCTTCGGGTTATTATTGCAAGTTCAACTGCAAAAAATCGGGCCATGACTAATTCACGCGCTGAGACTAGTAACTCCTCTGGTACAATCTAGTTTTTCATGAAATATTGTAAAAGAAAAACACAAAAACAGTGCAAAAATTTACTTCGATTCAATAAAACCATTCGTGTACACTCGAAGCATAAATTCAGCCTCTTCATTCGGTTCAAATGTTGACGGAACAATCACATAGTTACCAGGAGCAATTCGAAAACGTCCGCTTACCTGTAAATTTAACGAACTGACGAGAATAGGTGAGGGGTCTAAAAAATAAATAACAGCAAAGTTTTTCGAGCTTCAATAAGAACTCAATGTTTCGGAGTCGAAAACTGCTAGCTAAACTTCATACCGATAGTCTTTCTATCGTAAGCAAAGCGTAGGTTACTTATGTACAATAACGCTTCATTACGACCTGGCAAGCTCGGGATTCGCGAAACATATCAAAAATTCACAGACCCTTGGACAAAGACTAGCCACCCAAACGTCTTCGGTGCAAGCTGACCGGAATGTGGACCAAGTTTGAAGGTTTGTTGGTAAAATAAAGGCATCGGCTCCCCGACTAAATTCTCATTCTAATTTTCTTCGCAATTCTTTCATACCCGGTGTTTTTGGTGCGTGGTTTTTGCGTTTCGACTCATCACGATGCTTTTTCAACCATTTCGTTGAATTCCGTGTACTGACTCTATTTTTCTTTCATGCAGAAGACTGCAGTGACAAAAAAGGAAGGCATCCACCTATCCGCTCACTGAGTGACAGACTTAACCCATAGAAAGAGAGCTTGAGACTCATAGTAAATTCTTCCAGTCCACATATGGATGTGATTCTACTTCTAAATGTTTCTTGAATGGTATTCACGGGAAAGAAAACAACCACTCGGGAGGGCCCTAAGTACATGGCTCACAGACATCGAACAGACGCTGGTCACTAAGTGTAGGCAGTAGCCTAGGATCGGAGGCACAGCTGTTGAAGCATCCCAGTAACATCACTAACTTGGAATACTCAGACTGATCATCCAGAGGTCCTGTTATTTTTAGTTTCTCAATTCCTTAGAAATTCTGTGCAACCTTTTAATTCTGCAAATAACCTTACCTACACACTCCAAATGATGGAATTGATAAATTAGTAGATATCATTAGGACAACAATAACAAGAATGGCCCACTAAGCAAGTAAAATGTAAAATTTTACCTCACGTAGATTTATGAATGCAGCGCTTCTTGCGCATGACTTGTGCTGCTGGAAATATGCTTTCGTCAAACGTTCACCATGATCACCCATCTGCAACAAAAATGCTTGAATATTTAACAGAACGGCAAGGAAAACCATGAAGAAAGCGTGAAAATGGCACCCATAACCAATTATGAAACTAAATCCGTTACATGCACCCAAAATGTAATCGCTGTACCGCAGAAGGTATTCAGAAAATTTCGAAAATCGCCCCCCTCTCGTTGCGGCTCAGGGATGAAACACAGACAGTAAATGATCCATTCATCGGTACGCTCAATGCCTTGGTAGAATATTTCGGTGTTACTGTTATCCATTAATTCGAAATGTCCCGGGTTTGTCCAAATGGCAACTGGCAGTATTCGCAATCCAGAAGTCTATCTGAATTATGGTAAACTGACCAACTGCCACTGCTTCATTACATTATCCCTATCTCAATACTGGCATTAAGAAAATAAACGATCACTTGGGTGGTCATCGAAGAGGTCGTACGCATAAATACATCTAAAGGTGATTGATACTAGCTAAACGTACACAGTCCAAAATCGAAAAACTTTATACAGTCAAGTTCGAGGTGTAGCAGTATCTTAGTAATTTCACTTACAGTGGGATGCCTGCCCAGACAATCTGGGATCTGTTGATATTTTTAGTGTTAAAAGAGCATTAGTGGCATTACCAATGGCACATAGTTTTCAGAGCATATGAGTTCGTTTTAATTTACAGCTGAAATGTTATAAATAGCAGTTAGTAAGCTAGAAATTTATTACAGAGTACGAGAAAATTTTTGAAAGCCAAAGCCAATAGAGAGACAGAGAATAAGACCAAAACTGTTAAGAGAAGCAGTAATAAGGCAAACATATGTTACAATTAGGGCAAAAGAGTTGAGGTACCGCATTTCGTCTTTCAATACTTACCTGACCAACCTGAAATAAAATATTAAAAATCAAAAGTCAGAACCCCATTTCGCACCTGAACTCCATCTCTTTGAGAGGCAGTGGCGTTCGGGAAGCAGCCCAAGTGGTATTCGGGAAGTAGCAAATACTATAATTCGAGTTTTTCACAAATATATTAAAAAAAGACATGCTAGAAGTATGAGGCAAACGATGTTAGTGCCTAATAAGTGGACTGAAGCAAACTTACATCATATATCGCAAATCCAATAGCCAAATTTTCAATTCCCTCATGTCGCAATTCACGACGATATTTCTGCAGGACAGCAACGATCACGGTGCACAAATCATCGTCATCGTCGGGATCCGAATCGGCCACTTTGATCAAAAATTGCGGATTATTCGCAAATGTTTCTGTAAAAAAAAAAAACAAAAACCTAGTCGAAAGCGTACCGGCTGCCGGTACGAGGATGCGTTTTTTGCACAGTCCCCTTCCCCCCCCCCC